GGGTGGGTTCGAGGGTGTGAGAAGTGACAGGCGGCCAGTTGTATAACTGGCCGCCTGTCATACATACGTATAAATATACTTATTTCATTTCGAAGATAATATCAGCAGTTAATTCTCCATAATAAACTAACCTTGCGGTAGCGTATTCGGTTGAGGCACTATGTTACAAGCCGGAAGGTCACGGGATCGAATCCCGATGAGGTGGATTTTTTTCAGTTTACCTAATCGTTCCAGCCGCACTACGTGTAATGCCCTGCGGTTGACTGAGGATCTGACAGAAATGAGTACCAGGAATATTCCTGGGGGTAAAGGGCGGCCGGCGCGTAAGGCTAACAAAAACCTTACCACCATCTACGAGCTGATTGTCTAGAAAATGTAGGATCCTCAACCTCTCACAAACCTATGGGCCTTCACGGCTTGTTATAGGGACACATTTACCTTTTTTACCAACTGAACCACTCAGTCATCCAACTATCCACCTACCTACCTACCAACCAACGCTCAAAGTCAACCACATTCGAAACTATGCCGTGAAGCATCTAATCATCCAGCCGTCCAAGTACCGAGTCAAACAACGAGGGGATCAACCAACAGCTAAGCTCCCATCTACCAGATGACACAACCGACGATGTAACCAAATAAAAATTTATAAAATTTGGACCGCGTATGTAAGACAAAATGATTATTGCCACAAGACCTGCCATTCCATGAACAGCCATTATATAACCTGGGAGGAATGGGAAGTTACATGGGTGTATCGAGAGGCAGTCGGAGCGGTCGCTTAGCAACACACCGGGTTCAATATCGTCCGTACTTTATTTTTCACTTTGATGTGTTGCGAGTTTGAAATTGCATTAGCTGCTCCAGCTGATGTAGTTCCACCGAGCGGCTGTTCCCATAGTCTCCAGACTCTTTGTACTTATTATTAAATGTTGCTGCTTGGCTTGAAGGAACGTGTTACGTCTCATAGGCTACAATAACAGGTTTATTACAAATAAAAATGCATAGAAGAATATATCTGAAATTCGATAAACCTGCAGAGAAATACACTGCTGAAATACTGATCGACCAATAGCTTTATGTACGATAATGCGCTGTGGGATAATAAATTAGTGTTCTGACATTGCAGTAATAAATACTAAACAGACGTTATGATAAGAACTAATCGCATACTTTCTTTTGATACGACACGGACCGCATAGAAGACGACGCGTCCAACAATTCGTCAATTGCTGCGCGTAAATTCGTTGCAGCGATAATGATTTAACCGGACGGTTGCCTAGCAACGACAGTGGGATACAAATATAGACACACTGATTGCAGAGATTCATGAAGTAGGCCTTTCTGATAGGTTCAGTTGCCATTATATATGTGTCAAGTTTCATGAACTCAGAATTACTGGCTGGTGATCGCGTAAGCCTACTTTAATTTTTGCAAAAGAAAGAAAGTAGTCAAAAAATACGCATTAGACAAACTTTTTCATATCCCTTACACGCACCGACAGTAAAACTACTAAAATCTACTTGATTTGTCGATTAACTATATCACAGATTTCATGTAGTTTAAATGTAGAGCTCTAAGGCTTACAAAGGCCATAGGAGATACAGTGATTTTTTTTGATACAAAATCGAAACTTGTCATGTCACCTTTCACATATCTGATTTCTGTTACATCACTGATAAGGTGGGGGCACGCGGTAGCGTAGTTGGTTGAGGCACTACGGTACAGGCCGGAAGTTCGCGGGTTCACGTCCCGACGAGGTCATTGGATTTATTTAAATTGACCTAATCCTTCCAGCCGCACCAGGGCCCTGGGGTCGACTCAGCTTCTGACAGAAATGAGTACCAGGAATATTCTTGGGGGTAAAGGGCGCCCGGCGCGTAGGGTTGACAACCTTGCCGCCATCTATGAGCCCATTGTCCAGAGAAAATGTGGGAACCTCAACATGTCACAACCCTATGGGCCTCCACGGCCTGTTAGAGGAATACCTTTCTTTTTTATTGCTAGTGGGGTGGGACTAAGTCCCTTGTACTGCGACCACTTCTGGCCTACTGAACAAACCCCAGATGATAGGTAAGGGTGATTGTGGAGTAATTGGTGGAATGAAGATTGGCAGGGGAAACCGAAATACTCTGAGAAAACCTGCCCCAGCGCCAATTTGTCCACCACAAATCCCACTTGACCAGATACGGAATCGAACCCGGGCCGCCGCGGCGGGAAGCTAAAAACTAACAGCTTGAGCTATGGCGCGGCCCCAGGAATACCTCTACTTTTTACTTACTTTTACGCTGATAAGATGCCTCATGTAGCAGGCACTGCGGGAGCCGCCACTGTCTGAGAGCATATTTTTGCTGACATGGCTTAGAGACACAGGTGGCCCGCACCGGTGACCTACAGGGGGGAAATGGGACGTGACATGAACTTCCCTTCTTTGAGGGGCGGCGGGCTGGGGGGGGGGACTCGTGCGGAGTACGTGAGCGGGTTTCACTGAGCACATCAACGGTAGGCCAGTCTCTGACCGTGCCAGAGTTGTTTCACACAGTTACGTTCCTTGAATGGCAAAAAGAGCCTCCCGCGTGAAGACTGGAGATAACATTGAACGAATAATCGTGCACAATGAAAGTTTAAAATTTATAGTTTCAGAATCGCCTATGGAATTGCATGAAATTACAGCTGTGTCTGCGCCAGTTCTGGATCTGTAATTTACAATATGTTCATTTCATACTGTTTCAACATACATTTAAGATGTACGTCTTGTAACAAGTAGTTTATAGAAGCATTCTTCGCCATTCTGGATATGTTAGTTGAATTCATACTTATTAAATATTTCCTTAACGGCCGCGCTATAGCTCAAGCAGTTAGCGGCTGGGTTTCCGCCGCGGCTGCCCAGGTTCGATCCCGGGTCTGGTCAAGTGGGATTTATGGTGGACAAAGTGGAACTGGGGAAGGTTTTCTCCGAGTACTTCGGATTCCCATGCCAATCTTCATTCCACCAATTGCTCCACAATCATCCTCACCTATCATCTGGGGCTGGTACAATAGGCACAATTACGGTTGTATATTATGAGGTAGAGAGGACTTGGAAAGATGCGGCCCTAATTCTTCCCGTAATACAGGAATTTTGGAGACGGAATCAGTAAAATTTTATGTAATTTTGTATAAAGAGTGTTTAAGAACTTTAAGAACAGTAAATAAACTGCTGATGTATTAATTTGTTTTAAATCATTAATTATCGCAACGCTGAGGAAATTAACCATTTTCAGTAAAGTATATTTTGGACGGTAACTTCTAGTAACATTGAATTGAACGCGCAAGAGTAAAACGCGCAGTAATTTTTTCAAAAGTTATTTTGAGGAAAGATTGTCCCCTTATATTGGAATAAGTAAGACATTGGAAGGTTCTGTTCTGGACTGAGTAAGAACACCGAAAAATGAAAGCTAATGCCTGGCAGGGATATGAAGCAGGACGCTTTCCCGTTATTCTGACTCTTTGTGGCCTTCTGTACACGTACTAGTGCCATTCCCGGACACCAGAGTGCATACCTTGTTTAAATCTCCTTCATCCCATGAGATTTTTCCCGTCCTGCATAAAACCGCTTCTGGCCACCTTACACGTAGCACCACCGTGACATACAACCGCAATGTCAAGCGTGTCTGCTTCCCTCGTTGTGGTTTCTCTTGGTTTTGCTACGTATTCCCACTTGAGGGCAATTCTTGCACTAAACATGTTGGACCACCACGCCTCGGGTTTCTTCATTAATCCTCTACAGGGTTCAACACGTGTTTCGTCATTATCATTGTCCTCGCCATTATCGCCATAATATAATCTTCCTTGTCATCGCCTGTCTTATCATTAGCGTCTTTCTCCTCATTATACTGCCCCCTCATCAGTTCTGTCCTCACCCATAACGGAGCTTGGCTTTAGACGGACAGCTACCGTTACTGGCGCCACTAATCTACTTTCATATATATACTATATACTATATACTATATATATATATATACTATCCATTACTTCTCACCTTCCAATTTAATCCATGTCATAACATGCCCTCTAAAGTATGTTGCTTCTGACTAAGGTAGCACACCTGTTGTGCCTGTAGCAAACACGCAGATAATGTGTTGTAGTTACAATACTCGCATGCACATCTAATATCATTTGTGTCGTGGCACGTATATCAGATATTTTATCTGGACTTATCAAGTCAATTTATCTGTCACGTGTGCATAATATTTCTGTTGCCTTTACATTTTGTATTTAATTAATAGCACATTTACAATCTACTCTAGATAATATGGAGTAATAAGTAAATTTATTTTAAGTAGGTGCCTAGAGTAAAGAAATCACCCACTGATGATAACCCTGACAGAACCTGTAGAGGAATGGTGACGGTTTTAATCTTCGTCATCTGCAGGTTGTGGTAAGTCAGACGGTCACTGTCTCCGCCATCTTCTTTTTACATTTTGTGGACTGCTAATTTCTACAAGTATCATACACATCGAATGTTTGTCATATCTTTAACAAACTCATCGAATGTTTATCGATTTGACATGCACATCGATTGTCTGTTCTACAGTGTCTCTAGTATGCGTATCGATATCTGTTGAATAGCTAACATGCACATCGATTGTCTGTTCTAAAGTGTCTCTAATATGCGTATCGATATCTGTTGAATAGTTAACATGCACATCGATTGTCTGTTCTACAGTGTCTCCAGTATGCGTATCGATATCTGTTGAATAGCTAACATGCACATCGAATGTCTGTTCTGCAGTGTCTCTAGTATGCGTATCGATATCTGTTGAATAGCTAACATGCACATCGAATGTCTGTTCTACAGTGTCTCTAGTATGCGTATCGATATCTGTTGAATAGCTAACATGCACATCGATTGTCTGTTCTACAGTGTCTCTGTATTGCGCATCTATATCTGTTGAGCAGCTGACATGCACATCCAGGTTCATATGACATGCAATGTGACCATCATGTGGAGTACATACCGGATTTTTTGTGAGAGATTGCCACGAGAATTCGAGCTCAGAGATGTGTGCTGGCACGGGCACTACGAAGTTCATGGCATAAGTGTTGACCACGCCCTCTCGCACATAGAATAGCTCCGCCTGCAAGCCTACAACACACCAGTAAGCCTTCATGTAGTCCTCATTTGTCGTACAAGGATTATATACTGGCTCTGATACGAGATTCCGAATCACTGAACAGGTTAGCTAAGTCGGTAGTAGAATACTTTCGAAATGTACCAAATTTTGATTTTGGCAGGGGCAGTTTCTATTTTGAAAAAAAAAAAAAACGTTCTTATTGTTTTTCTCATTCCCCCAGGCGAAAGTAGCCATAAAAATTATTGGCAATATTCAAGAATCAGAATTCAAATCGTTAGAAAGTGTTAATTGATATACCACGTTTTGGCGAAATTCAAATCGAATGCATATACTGCATAACTGCATACTTATTCAGTGAATGAAAGAATATTATATTAGAGAGAAGAACCATTGACTTGCTGAACAGAATGACCAATATCTAGTTCTCGGACCTTGCCTTCCTTTCAAATAAGAAAGATAGGGGTGATAAGATCATTTCTGATCAGGGCTATGAAATCGGAATAGGCTTCAGTCTGAAAGGTGGATGGCAAAATAATAATAATATTTGGATGCTATCCCAGTTTGATTATTGCAGACTCGTCTCATAGGCTCAGTTGCTAGGTTGGGAATAGTGCACAGGATAATATGCGAACACACCACTGTGAACTGCTCCCAGCATGAAAAGAGCTCCGCGGCCTGTAGTCCGCAAGCGCCCTATACCGACCGAGCGACCGCCGCTTGTCGGCGAAGTTAGTGCCAACTTTAGCGGATAGAGGGTGTCGCGTGGTCAGCACAACGGATCCCCACGACCGTTAATTTTGGTTTTATAGACAAGAGACGCTACTTTTCCATTCAAGTAGATTCTGAGTTATCTTCACGAGGCTGAGTGGACCCCGTTCCAGACCCACTACTTCTCAGAAAATCTGGTAGGGCCGGGAATCGAACCCGAACTCCTGGATCTGCAGCAAGGAACTCTGACCACTAGACCACAGAGGCGGTCTACGCTCAGCATGATAGGAATAAAAAAATATATAGACAAGAGGTTTCAAATGCAATTTTAAGAATTAAGAAGAAATCCACATGCTGTTGTTAATGAGTTCAAAACATAAAATACTTACATAAAATATTAACTTCAAACAGACGGCGACAGTCGCTGAACTAGTTAAGTTCACCATAAAGAAGTCGAAACGCGTCGCAATTATTATAAGTCTATAACAACTCAGGGTCAGTGGCTACTGTGGTATGTATTAAATTTTAATATATCGTGGGAAGCGATATAACTGTTGCATTGTATGGGTGTGGAACATAGTTTCACCGTGCATGAGGTGTCAGATTAAGGATGATTAAGAACAGAGTGTTGATAGAATTATTAGGATAAGAGGGAGGCAGTAGAAAATTACACATTGATGAACTTGATAACAGTTCTCTTCCCCTAATATCATTAGGGTAATGAAATGAAGGAAGTGGAATGGATGAATGGGGTATAAAGTTTGGGCGCGATGTCAATTTGGATGTAGAATTTTAATTGGAATATCCCAAGAGAAGAGACCATTTGGGGCGCTAGCGCTAATTGCAGAATAATATCGTAATTCGTGTTACAGGAACAATATGTGGGATTATACAGGAGTGAACTAGCCAGAAACTGGGTGCAGTGGAAGGAAATTATGGACACAGTAATGAATCTTGAAGTTATATAAGATTTGAGGCTTTCACGGCGGTGACTATGAAGAAAGCAGTCTTCTGGGATTTGGCACCGCGTATATGTGGTGTTAACCGACGTTTCGGAGGAACGTATCGCCTCCATCTTCAGGGTAGAAGAAAAAATATAAGAAATCTGCAAGCGAAGAGACCGTGAGAACAGGTAAAAGCAGACTGGTCTGCTTTTATCGGTTCTCACGGTCTCTTCGCTTGCAGATTTCTTATATTTTTTCTTCTACCCTGAAGATGGAGGCGATACGTTCCTCCGAAACGTCGGTTAACACCACATATACGCGGTGCCAAATCCCAGAAGACTGCTTTCTTCAACCTTGACGTTCCTTAACATGCAAGGAATTGCTTGACCAGCTGAGTGTCTATCAACTTCGCAGGAACAGCTGTGCTTTATGGAGTTACATAATTAACGAACTAGAAAGGAGGGTAGGTTGTATAACAAAACGCTTTCCTAGTTAAATGAAGAGCGGACTTTACAGATTCGTGCTTCGTTACGTGGGACAAGAACCAGCCGGTGTTGCAATTATAGCACGGGGAAGGGCGGAAAAGCAAACGCAAGCTCCGTCTTATTTTCCTTACAAAATGGACTCGCTACCAAATACCGTTTTGCTCCTGAAGACGATCTTAACAAGAAATGTGGCAACCATTTTCTTTTAAGTAAATGAACATCCCAAATAAATGTATTGTAACGTAATGTTGGTAGCCTTGAGACTTCTATTCTGGTGCATTTGGTTTGAATCCAGCCCAAAATCGATTATTGAACGAGAAGGATGTAGAAGAAAGGTGTAGTATTTTATTTTGAAGTGTTATTTCAATAATTCAAAGATCTTCTCACATTCATTTATTTCTAAGCGTGGCCGCACACTAACTGCGTCAAGACAAACATCAAGACATGAGACAAAAGACGCAGTCTTGCTTCATTCGCGAGTCGTCAGTATGAAACTGACGTCAGCATCATGACTCAGACCAGTGTACGGCGGTCTTCATAATCTCATTCGTTTCAACTGTGCTCCTTTCTTTGCGTCATGTCGCAAACATCGTGTCTTGATTGTTATATGATTTGACGCATGCCGGTGTGCGGCCTACCTAACACTGTCAGTGTTTGTTCTTAATTAAAGAAAGTTTCATCGCAATATATGTGTTTCTACGGTAAAGTGCAATTTCTATTACTGAAAAGCCAAAAATAATTTGTCTTAATTGCTGGAGGATGGCAGGATATATACGCGTAATTTCAGTGATACTTCAATTACAAAATACTGCTATAAAGAGATCGTTACTTTTAATCGGGCCATATCTTATATAGTATGGAAAGGGTTATTAGTAACCAAGGTGATTAGGATACTGGTAACACTTACGAATTATATTCGGGAGGCTTCTGGTTAAAATCCCGGTCGAAAACAGTGCTTATTGGAAAAGCTGCAACATTGTATAAGTTACGTGCTTTCCCTGTTCAAAATCCCCGTGTAACTTGTATTCAAAATTTCAAAACACATGATGCTGAACAGTAACAAATCTTTATGCTTAAACTACATTTTCCACCCGATAAAAGAAGTATTTTTACTCTAATCCGTAAACGTGACTAAATCCATCCCAACTAGGGGACGTTTCGGAAGTATGAAAATATTCAGGCGATCTAAAATAACACCATGGTGACTTCCGTTGGCTTTGGTACACGTGGAAGATTCTATACTTTGTAGCAATATGTTCAGGTTATTTCTGCTTCTATTTCGTTAATTTTCCATTTCATTACAATTTGGGAACTTATTTCAAAGCACGTGACCGCCTTTTGAAGCAAAGCAACTCTCCCAGTGGGAAGCATAAATTTGTCTGACCCCCATTCTCTTCTTCTCAGAGCCCATCCACATGCCTCATATCCGAATATTATTACATGAGAATCTTTTTTGTAGTTTATTCAAGTTTGCATATCTCACCGATAAGCATTCTAAGTGCCCTGGGTCTCCACTATTAATATAAGTTAACTAGACCGTGAGGTAAACTGTTATACGAAGAAATGTTAACTGATTCTTGTCTGAAATAGCAAGAAGAGCACTGATTATGAAAAATATTTTCAGAAGTTTGAACAGATGTCGAGAATAAAAATCACAGTTGCATTAAAATTTAACTTATGACAAAATGGTGAAGAACTTGGAGATTTTTAAGAGCATAACACCCTTGAACTGCTGACAATTTGCTAGTCACTAAATATTCAGCTCCTAAATTATTTATTTAATCTGGTAATTACTGTATTTATAATGGTTTAATGAGATTCATTTATGAAGAATGCCATCTTCTGGGATGTGGCGCCGTGTAGAGCTTGCGTGAACCGACGTTTCGGAGGAACGTATCGCCTCCACCTTCATGGTAGAAAAATCCGCGAGCGAGGAAGGAGCGTGAGTGGGTGGCTGCAGACTACTGACTGGAGGCTATACGTTCCTCCGAAACGTCGGTTCACAGAAGCTCTACACGGCGTCACATCCCAGAAGATGGCATTCTTCATAGTCACAGCCGTGAAAACCTATAATCTTACATGATTTAATTATGTTGTTAGTTTATGTAACGACATTTGCAATACAGTCTTTGGTGTCGAATTGTAGAATGATTAGCGAAAAATGAATTTGGAAAGTGTATGGAAGTTTTTCATATCAAATTAGAAGCATTACGAATGTCCCTAGAGGAAGTGAGAAAACCATTAACAACATGAGACAGAATTCTCACTCTCTGGACCGAGATCTGAACCCGGGAGCTTCTGAATACGGAGCAGGAGTGCAACCGACTCGACCGTCATTTTCGGCTGTGTTTACTTCTTGTAGAGACAGTATACCATACTTAGTCATTTAGACATCAGGTTCTTGGGCAAATTTATATTAACTTAAGTTTCATATATCCTCTATTACGTAAAGGAAACCCAAGATCTGTGTTCACTGATGTTGTGGCAACATGCCATTCTATGAAGTACAGTGCAAAAAAGGAAAAGAGCCCTGGAATTTATTGCCCATTCCTCGCTGAATTCGTAAAAGGATAGATAAAAGTAGAGTGTAGTAATGTTATGTGAAACTTGCCTTAGTTCTTTTAGTTCCTAATGTGCAGAAACACTGCCGAAATGAAATCAGACCAGTGATAAGGCTACATAGCTTGCAGGGAGAGACGTTGAGACAATGTTTGGCGATCCAGCGTTACCCTCTCCTACATTTATAGGCAATTCTTGAGAAAACACGAGGAAGTGTAGAGAGGCGCGCAGTTTGTTTTGGGAACATGAAGGCTGGAGGAAGTGAGCGGAAGGGAAAGGGGGAAACTAGAAGAGGGAAAGTTTCTTTTTGAACTC